AAAACTTTATCGTTTTCTCAAAACCACTAAAAATCATATCATATCGACAAACATAAAAAATAAAACAAAACATTAAAATTATGATGTATCTTGTTGTATTATACGAGTACTCTTCTAATATATATATATATATATATATATATATATATATATATATACCAAGGGTTTTTCGTGACAAATGCAACAAATAAAATCACATACTCTCATAAATTTTTGTGATATTTGAACCCTTGACCTCCTAGGAGGCCAAAAACTACGATACCGCTATAAGCCAAAGACCCTTTGGGTAGATTTTGATATTACTCGAATGTGTTTGTGTTATAGGTACATTTACGATCGGTGTCTTATCAATTTTACGGTCACCGGAGGGATTATGAACGTGAGGACTATCGTGCAACAATACTCGAGCAACGTCACAAGGAAGATCATATTCGGAAGTAGATACTTCGGCAAAGGGAGTGTTGATGGTGGACCTGGCGAAGAAGAAATCGAGCATGTCGACTCACTTTTGATCATTCTGTCTTACGTTTACTCATTCTGCGTGACAGATTACTTCCCGTTCTTGCGATGGATAACCGATTTTGATGAGCATGAGAAGATCATGAGGAACGCTATTCGCACCGCAAGAAAACATCAAGATCGTTTGATCGATGAAAGGATTCAACAATGGAAAGATGGTATCATAACCAAAGAAGACGACTTGCTTGATGTTTTCATCAACCTCAGAAACCCTATTTTAACCGCAGATCAAATCAAAGCCCAAATCCTTGTAAGATTAGCACAAGTTTGGTGTTTTCACAAAAGAGGCCTTTTGGCTAACGGTATGTGAGTCTTTGGCCTCTTAAGAGGTCAAGGATTCAAACCTCACCGAAACGTGAGGGGGGGTGTCTGTGAGTTTATCTGTGAATCTTTTTCCATAAAAAAGGGATTTATGTTTTGGTGTAATATATTACAGGAACTCATATTAGCAGCATTTGATAATCCATCGAATTGTATAGAATGGGCAATGGCAGAAATGATGAACCAACCGAGGATTCTCGATCGAGCGATCCACGAGCTCGATTCCGTGATCGGAAAAGACAGGTTGGTGCAAGAATCTGATCTGGCTAACCTTAATTACATCAAAGCATGCGTGAAGGAAGGTTTCAGGCTACACCCTGTTGCACCATTCAACCTTCCTCACATGGCGATGGTCAGCACCAGTGTGGCCGGATACTTCATACCGAAGGGTAGTCATGTGCTGTTGAGTCGGGTCGGACTCGGTCGGAACCCGGAAGTCTGGGATGACCCTCTAACYTTCRAACCAGAACGTCACATRGATGGTGAYAACGAAGTGGTRCTCACMGACTACAACCTTSAMATGTTGTCRTTTAGYWSYGGACGACGTGGGTGYCCAGGRGTGTTGTTYGGCTCGACCATGACMGTAATGTTGYTGGCTAGGYTRGTCCAAGGGTTCACCTGGGAGTTGCCACCCAATGAACCACATGCTGATCTGAATGAGAACCTTCAAGATTTATGGAAGGCTGAACCATTGTTAGCCCTTGTGAAGCCTCGTCTACCTCACCATCTATACCCCACATGTTGAAAATGGTTTTTATACGAACTAACTACGAACCGTTCGGTGGGAAGTTTGTTTATTTAATAAGCGGAGAAACGTGAAAAACGTTGTGGTTCGTTTAGTTAAACGAATAATAGTCTCGTTAGGTCAGTTACGTCGCAGAACGTTTGCTTATATTCGCTTATTTATGTTTTGTTTATGTATGACGTTGATATCTGATATTTTTTACGAGAAATATTGATGATTGTTCTTTTTTGTCATTTAGGACGTGTTTGATGTCTAGACAGGAAATGACATGAGAATTAAGTTTTATTTTGAGATTATGGTAAAATATAAGTCTGTTCCACTCCATTCCATGGGATAAGGGTGGAACAGGCATGTTCCACCTTGTTGTGTCTGTTCCACATAAAAGTCATGCCAAACATGGGACATGAATCTCAATCATGTCATATCCAGTGTACCAAACGCACCCTTGCTGGGGATAATTCATTTATATGTTCATGACATTCATTTGTTCCCGTTCAATGTTTTCCATTATCTAACGGAATTGCGGATAAAAATGAAAAAAAGTTAAAAATAACGTTGTAAATGAACGTTGAACAAACGAATTGATGAGTAATGGTGGTTGTTTTTTGAATTATTTGTGTTCATTCGTTTATGTTAATTCATATTCGTTCGTATACTTCTTGAGCCTACCTTCGCAACCCTTCGTTACTCTTCAGGAGGCATCCTCCCCAGATAAACTACCCACCTCGCAGTGTCCCACCGACCCCCCCCCCCCTCTCCAGAATGATCGGTGTGGCGGTTAGGCATCCTTAGACGAAAAAGTTGTCTTTGAGTTTTTGTTTAACATCTTACCAAACGAACACGAACAAACACATTTTCTTGACGAACAAATATTAACACGAGTTTTGTTCATTTATAGTCCAGGTTGGTTCATTTGTTTTATAGGAAACAAGTGTAACATGATCGTGTTTTAAATGTCGTATTGTAATCATTTAAAGCAATAATTGTGAGCATATAATTAGAGGCACCGATGGAGCCGCGTAATACATATAAATTAGTGGAGCCTCGATCTTGACGTCACCCAAAATTAAATCAAAGTTTTTAATCTTTATTTTTTATTTTAAATATTAAATATTATATATTTTTTTGAATTAATTAAATATGAGACTTGTAAAAATGATAAAGAGTTTTAAAACAATAAAACTCATTTAAACTCTTTTCTATTCAAAAATCTTTCAATCCATCGTAAATAAATTTTTCTGCTAGAAGAATGTAATTAACTGATTTCAAAAAGTTTGATGGTTAATTTATTTGAATGTTCAGAAAAGTTAGTTAGGTTTTTTTAAACATTTCCGAATACCAAAACCATTAAATCTCATGTATTTTGTTTTGTTTTGTTTTGTTAGATCGACTTAGCATTTAGTACTTGTATATTCTTTTATTAAATCCATCTTAAGGTGTGTTTATTTACGGCTTAATGAGCTTAGTTAGTAAATGGGCATATTCGTACAGCCAAAATGGTGTGTTTACTTTGGACTTATTCGCACAGATCAAAAACAACACTTGTCCCCATTAAGCCCAAAAAAAGACCCTCATACCCTTGGCCATGAACCCTAGTGTATCTTCTTCCTCAAAACACTTCCTCCCCTATCAACGACCGTGAACCCTAGGTATCTTCTTCCTCGGCCGATTGCTCTATTCTCCAAAGTTAACTACTTCTCCACTTCTCTTCAAATCGATTGCTGCTGGGTACCATCTGCTTGCTTCGAGTATCGACCACTGCTCTACTTCAAATCGATTGTTGCTGAGCATCGATCGATTGCTTTATTCTCCAAAGGTAACTACTTCCCCACTTCTTTTCAAATCGATTGTTGTTGGGTACCATCTGCTTGCTTCGAGTATCGACCATTGCTTCACTTCAAATCGATTGCTGTTGAGTGTCAACCATTGCTTCACTTGAAATCGTTTGTTGTTGAGTATCAACCATTGCTTCACTCCAAATCGATTGTTGTTGAGTATCAACCATTGCTGTTGTTTCATTGATTCTGTTGGGTACCATTGCTAAATGTTTCATTGTTGCTTGTCTGTTTCATTGCTTCTGTTTTTTCCAGAACTTTTTTTGGATTCCTTGATCATCAAATAATGAGATTAAAGAGTGTTAATTTGCCTAATCTTAATTTGATTTCCGGCAAAGGAAATAGTTGCATTATGCATTAAAGAATAGTATTGTTTTTTGGTGTTTTTTAATGGCTAATCTACTTGTCTATTGTTATCTGTATCTATTGCTGGTGTTTTTTAATGGCTAATCTACTTGTCTATTGTTATTTGTATCTATTGCTGGTGTTTTTTAATAGCTAATCTACTTGTTTATTTTTCATAAATATCATTTTGTCTTTAAAAATGAACAACAATTTATTAAACAGCGTGTAGTTCATCCTCATGGGTAAATCAATAATTTCTATTATTCAGACTGTTGATTCAGATAAAAAAGTAAACAACAATATAAATTTATGTAGGTATACAAATTTATCAATAGAGGACTTAATAGAAAATTTGGTAAACAACCCATAATATCTTCTTATTTTGACTTTAATGTAAACCAGTTTAATTAACATTTAAACTTTATAAACTACGAATGGCAACCAAAGCTGTCTACAAAAAAATCATGTGTACGAGACAAAGTGTTTAATTGACATAATAGAATAAAGTGTGTTATATGAAAATGTACAAGTTCTTATCTAGATTTAGATTTAGATTAAAATACGGATTTGGTTCCCAAGTTATGTCAAAAATTACGAATTTGTTTCTTTGTCGTCATTTATTACAAAAGAACCCTCTCCAATACGAAGTTCCATCTTTACTCCATTCCTGATTTTCGTTGTATACAAACTTTTCCCAAAGAAGCAAAGATATGAAGCAACATAAATCGTAGCTGAAATGAAACTTAGAACAGCACAAAATCCAATTACCAAAATGCTTTACTTATTAATTTCAAATCCAAATCAGAGGTTTAAATCACAATATACGAAAATAAAATGTGTAGAAGAATGTCCTTTTGCTTGCTAGACCAACTTCAAAAGCATTAAGCCTCAGAAAAATCTGAAAGAGCTAAAGAGATCGATTTCCGACCAGATTAACACCTCACTTCTCATTTAAGTATTCAGAAGGAGGTTGCCTGAATATCCGATCGTTATAAATTGCTTATAACCACAAAACATAACACTAATACCTGAATTCCAACTCATTCCATAAAAGGAAAACGAAATTTCGATCAAAAACGTCCAAAAACAGAAAAGAAGATCAGTCGGATTTAAAACAAAACTGATCACGAAGATGAAAAGGTTCAGAGTTTTGCTTAATATGCTCAGCGAAAAGCTTTTTACAGACAATTCTCATACAAGAGGTGTCAGAATAATAAGCATTGATCATCACCACCAATAATAAGACATAAATCAAATTCAATGAACAAATGAAAACGAAACAGAAGAAACCTGCAGGAATCGCTTGAAGGATGCATCAATTAGCTTGTTGATCAATGCATATATAGAGAGAGTGTGTGAGAAAGAGATAGGAAGCGAAAACGGCCATCAATGGCGGATCTAGGGTTTCAGCCTTCAGCGGTCGAAATATGTGAAATTGAAATGGGCTTTTATTAAGGCCCATAAATTTGGGCCTATTTTGAAATTTGACATATGGTGCGTGGATCTTGGGCACGTGACTACTAGATTCATGGATGAAATAAAGTCAATGCTGGAAGTTTGACGGACTGTCTCTTTCGACTCACCTGCCCAATATATTCCTTTTTCCTTTAACATTTTAAATCCTATTTTTATATCGTATTAAATATTAAATAAATTTAATTGTAAATTACAAATTTAATATTATTTTTATTTATTAAAAATAAAATACAAAACTAATGAAGTAATTGTTGGGTTAAAAAAATATAACCTTCATTTTACATGTTTAAATGTGTTTATTAGTGGATAAATTACATAAAAAAGTAATGTATTTTAATTTGATTCATATTTTGAGTAACATATTTTTAAAACATCAATTTCGGTACCTAAGATGTAAAGTTTTAAACATTTAACTATCTGGATAACGGCTGAAACATTAACCGCTTATTATGTTGATGTGGCGAGTGATGTGGTATCCAACTCAGTATTATTTGTTGAAACATTAATCGCATACCACATCAGCATGATAACCAATTAATGTTTCAAACGGTTACTTGGGTAATTAAATGTTTAAAATCTTACATCTTATGTACCAAGATAAAAATTCTGAAAGTACGTTACCCAAAATATGAATCAAGTTAAAGTACGTCACTTTTTCATACAATTTGTTAATAATCGGTTAATTTTCGTTGATGGTGAAATTTGAAATTTTGTACATGTAGAATAATAATTTGTTTCCTTTAAATTCTAAGAGACTGTAATAATATTTTATGATATAGTAAATAATATATTCTTCCTTTTAATCAAAAAGACCTTCTATGAATTCTAGAGTTTGTTTAAAATAATTATATCATTTATCAGTTACCGATCAAAACAGATAAAAAAATTAAAACTACTCACACAAAATTCATTTCATTTTCTTATATTGTGACTATCTATATGGATATCATTGAAACGGATCTGTTAAATCATAATTACACTGAATGGTGAATTAAAACTTCACGTTTGCTCCAGATTTAAGACAGTGCAAACGAAATACTTCATACGACCATAATCACAAAGGTGATGTCTGATTAATTTGAGCTTGGACTCCAAAAGAACAAAGTTTATGGAGGTATAAAGTTCAAACCCAAGGGGGAATAAAAATCATCTTGTGACAATGGAAGTTCAAATGCGGTGACTCTGGGCTACCCGCAAAACAGATGATCGTCCTACGATTAGTCGGCTCAAATAGTGGATTGAATATCCAGGTTAATTAAATTTTTTTGCTTTGAAAAAAAATTGGAATCATCAAGAAGAGACATAAAAAAATGCATGAAATAGCAACTTACTTTCATAAAATTTCTTATTATAACATTTTACTTTTGTTTTTCTTTATTACAGCAATGTACTTTCAAACTATTTTTTATTAAGGCATTGTACTTTAAAAAATCTACCCATAATAGCAATAACTAATCTGTTACCTTTTAAACCGGTTAACTCTTGACTTTTTTTGCTTATGTAACTTTAATGAGGTGATATGGATGACACATCATTTTGATGACTTAACTAAAATAAAAGTAAAAACTTATTTCATATTATTATTGGTGATTTCTATTTTTCATTGTTATAATCTAAAAAAATATTTAATTTTTTTTTTACTTTTTCTTATTAAGTTGCATGCAAATTAAATATTTTAGAGTAAAAAATTTCTTAAATAAATATAAAACATTATTTACGAGATATATTTTGTTTGTAAAAAATGTAACACTTCTTATTTTATTTTGTTCAAATAAACACATATCTTTTAAAGTTCTCTTTAAAATGTTAACGAAATAAATTATGATCTACAATTTTTTAATATTGTTATATTAATAAATAATTCAAAAAAAATCAAATTAATTTAACATATTTATACGTCAAGTGAACTTTTTGAACAAATATAATATATCTTTTAAAATATAATATTTTTTGGTAAAAAATAAACAATTTTTTTTTCCAAAAAACACATTTTTTTTAAATATTAGCGACATCATTAGTTTATTGATATTGGTATATTAATGAATAATTTAAATTTTTTAATTCATTTAATATATTTATTAAATAATATGTAAGATATCTAAACATTAAAATTAAAAATACAGTGTTTAATAAGAACTAGTAGATGTTATAATAAAATAATTTTGAAAGTACAATGATGTAGTAAAAAAAGTCACATCACCATAGTTTATGTGGATAGCCTACGTGGACAATGAGGTGACATGAAAACCTGGTATAATGGGTAAATTCAAATCAAAATGTTACCCAATGCTATAATGGGTAAAAAAATTCAAAGTACAATGTCTTAATAAAAAATAGTTTGAAAATACATTGCTGTAATAAAAAAAACTGAAAGTACAATGTTATAATAAAGAAATTTATGAAAGTAGATTGCTATTTTGTGCATTTTACCCAAAAACAAAAATCTTACAATGTGATAGCATAAAATTGTATAAATTTATTTTCTACAAAAAAATTCTCTTATGTCGTAAGCTATTAGTTTAAGTCCTGCAGTGACGTAACTTTGTGTTTATCCCAAATAAACATTACCTAAAATACATCAAATGGTCTTTGGTCTAGCGGTATGTGAGTCTTTGACCTCATAGGAGGTCAAGAGTTTCAAATCTCACCAAATGTGAGAAGAGTGTGTGAATTTATTTGTTCTATTTACCATATATAAATATTATATGTTTCAAAAAAAAAACATTACCTAAAACTCTCTCGATCAAATTTGGAGGGCCTCATTGCAACTAAAATTCACCATTAATATCCTTTTTACGAACATATCATCATAAAAAAACTATAACAACTACTTAAAACCATCTTCAACTGATTTTTTAAAATCTCTCTAAAATCAAAAATCAAAATATATGAAAAAGAATTAGCGACTGTTTGACAGTTGATAAATGATTTGGTGCAGAATGATTAAAAGGCTTTCATGATATAGTGCAAAAAAAAAAATTGTACGATAATTGTATACAATGAAATTAGGGAATTGAATGGTTAAGGGAGACCCAAGATACAAAATCAATCAGAGGGTTTTAAAACCAGTAAGAGACAGACTTTTTTTTGCCAAACAATATTCACCTCTTAACAATTCAAATGATGTCTCTTAATTGAACTATTAAGAGATAAACAAACAGCTCTTTACATTAAATCTAACAATATCTCCTTTTTACATATTATAACATTAATTATATTATTAATAAAAAAATCTACGTCTTAAACATTTAATTTCAAAGATTTTATTGGTGGAAAAAAAATACATAATCATTTATCTCTCCTAACTAATCCCGTTTTAAAACTTCCCCAAATCATTTATTTCGCTCCAGCTTTCTCCATAAGTACCTGAAAATCTCCATTTCAGTAATATATCGATGCATATGGTAAATTAAGATTATGTCGAAGCAAAAATCATTTCATAATGCCCATTTTAAAAAATCTGTTGAAAATTCTTTAATAGAATTAAAGGGTTTTTTTTATTATTAACTTGGATATCCAACCCGCTATGTGAGCCGACGAATCCCAGCAAAGCGGGTAGCCTGGAGTCACCGCATTTGAACCTCTGTGATCACAAGAGATTTTTATTCCTCCTTAGATTCGAACCTGAGACCTTCAGACATTTTTAGCCTTTAGATACCAACCTCAAACCAATCGACACCACCCTTATAGTTTAGAATTAAAAGTTTATGGTCAAAACCATTGTAACAGTTATACTTTTTCAACGATACAGATAAAACTTTATAGAAAATAACGAAAATAAAGATAAATTAATATTTAAAAAATTGAAAAAGAAATTATTAATAATATATCAAAGCAAGCAATTAAAGATAAAAATTAAAAAAAAATGGAAAATCCAGTTTATTGAAAAAGAAATTATTGATTTATATATAAACCCGAGGTTAGTTTCGGGAATCTATTGAAGCACGGGAGAAATTCAAAAGAAAATAAAAAAGGCATTAAGCAAAGGATCCCCATAAATTTTCACGTGCATTGTGGTCTATTCTTCATGCAAATCAAATGAAAATAAACCTCTCTTTTCGGTTTTTAAAAAAAAATCATATTTTAAAAATATTAATAATTAACTAGAGAAGTACTTGCGTAATGCAGCGAGACAYATCTCTATTTTAATGTTCTATTTTATTATTTGTCTYTGTYRATGTTATAATACRATTTTATGTGTTTTTAARAAAACAATAATAATTTTATTTTTGAATAAAATATAAATTTGAAGATATCATAAAAATTTGAAAAAAATATATCAATGTTAATATCAAATCAACTATTTAAAAGTTCTCGTTTTTTATGTAATTTCTTTTAAAAAAAATTATTATAATTTGATTTAAGTTTAATAACAAAATAATTTATTTTTGGTTTAATAATATAACATTTTATAAAGTTAATAATTAAGTATTCTGTTATAACTCAATGATTATCCTAATTATATTTTAGATTTTTTATATTTAAAATGAAATGTTTATCATGTATTTGATTATGTTTATCTGCAGATAGTTATACGAATTCCGATACGGAGCTTTAATAAGTTGTACTTACGCACAATCTACTTGCAATCTTGAGTTTTAAGTAATATACATTCATAAACAGTATTTTACGCATAAAAAGTGGTTTTTATCAAATATTTTATAATATAATATAGATTATTTAAAGTATTTTCAACAGTTATGTTATATCTGATTATTTGTAATGAAGATTTAAATTTTTTTTACTCCAACAGTCCAAA